TCATTCTATTCTTAAAAGCAGGGGAAAAATGCACCAGTGTTTTCCCGCCCAAATGCAAAGCAATCTTAATCGTTGATTCCTAGAAAAAATGAGATCTACGGATGATATATAATCCAGTGTTTTAAGATCTAATAAGGAAAGTTATTTCTCATGGTACCATTAATAAAGAAAAAGGTAAAGAATCAACAAACATGGAAATATCGGACCAAAATAAATATGTAATCCACCGTTGTATACAAAATTAAAAAGGAAAGAAGAAATTGTATTTTTTATGGGAACATTTTTAAAAAGTAAAGAATTAACAAAGAAGGAAAGAAGAAACCCTTTTTTCATGAGAACGTTTTAAAAGAAAGTAACAAATTAACAAATAATGAAATATATATAGGACCGATGCTATTGTTATTATTATTTTTTAATTATTATTATTCTTATTATTATTATTATTATTATTTATATTATTATTATTATTATTATTATTATTATTATTTTTATTATTTAATAATCGTGATTAAGTAGGGACATGATAAAGATTTAAAACCATGTTTTTTTATGAGAAATCATTCTATTCTTATAAGCAGTGGAAAAATGCACTAGCGTTTTCCCGCCCAAATGCAAAGCAATCTTAACAGTTGATTCTTAGAAAAAATGAGATCTACGGATGATATATAATCCAGTGTTTTAAGATCTGATGGATACCGAATATTTTCCCTAGGACTGTAGATCGGCCCAGATCCAAATATAGGTATCCGGGCCTTATAATATTGAAAGATAATACGAGAATAGTAAATAATAGTAAGGGAAGTATTGCTCACACAATAAGACCTCAAAACCAGCGGTCCTTTCCTCTATTCGGTCCACTTAGGGTTGGAATATACTCAAGGATCGCCGGAATATCTTTTATTATTTATTCAAGTATTTTCTCTCTCTATTACAAGATGATCCTTCCTCTTTAACTTCCTCATTCTTTTATAGGCTCTCCCCATCCACTATCTCATCAAAATAATGGCAGTGGTTGGGGAGGATATTCATACCATCCTTGCTATTTCCTGGAGGGATGTATCTCAGCTTGAAGCCATCCACTAGAGTACAAGCCTCTCCGTCCATCTCTCATTCCTGTCCTTCGTCCGTTCCTTACTCCTTGTCCTTGTCCCTCTTGTTGAGGGGCGGCTTACCCTAATTTCCTCTATAGGGTTCCTTCTTTTTGGGGTGACTTGTTCCTAATGGGCTGGGGTTCAGCCCATCCTTAAGCCCCAATCCTTTTCCTTTCCCTATCTCTCCTCACGGACAACTTCCCTTGACCGGCCCAGTACATTTTCTCTAGGCTGGATTCTCCTTTTGATGGACGGGATCTAGATTGGGTCTAGGCCCAATTCGCTGGTATTTTCTCGATGGGCTTGGTTCCCATCACATGCCCCTTTTTTTACAAGTCAAAAAATAAATTTTTTTTTGACTGTAGTCTTCCTTGCATCTTCAATTGGAAAGTTTTTTCTTCTCTTTCTGAGAAAGATTCTTTTTAGGGGAAGACCCCAAAATTCATTCTGTGTTCACTCCAGATGATGTTTCCCATAATGCATCATTCGCGGGTCATGGATGAATAATTGTGTGAGTGGAGTGCATGTGGATGCACTTTTGTCATTGGACCGTTCTGATTACTGCCCCACTTAAGATTCCTCATCCCTTATGACGGTAGGGACCGTGGCAGGAAAAGAAAATCATCCCTTTATGACGGTAGGGACCGTGGTAGGAAAAGAAAAGCCAGCAAAGGACCGCAGATCTGGGAAATTGGCAGAGTGGACCGTTTGGAGTTAGTGCTCCCTTAAATGTTTCTGGACCGAATTCCAAAAGTTGCAACTCTTTGTCCTTGAAGTCCTTTAATTTCTACTGGACCGATTTTGAACCATGCGCTATTCAAAGCTCTTTCCCCACCATAATAATGGTGGGACCGTTGGCAGGGAAAAAACGGCATGTGTGGACCGCAACTTGGGAAGAGACGTTTGGGAGTGGACCGTTTCTTCTTCCTTTCTTCCCCTTCTATAAAATCGGTCCATCTCCCCTCTTCTCTCTCACGCTTACACAATCCTCCACAACCCTTTGCTTTCATTCTTGCAGAATCGGCCCTCTTCCTTTCCTTTCATTCTCTTTCAACATGAAGAAGGTGATCTCTAAGGCTTCCAAGCTCTTTAATGGCGGCAAAAAGTCCAAGGAGGACGAGAGTGTTTCCTCCATCACTCCCGTGCAACTGAAAGAAATGAGGGGGATGATTCCTCCCGATTATCAAGTCCTTGAAGCCAATGGAGTCACTTTGGAGCATAACCAAGACTCTTCACGTCGATTGATCGTCCACTATGACTCGGTTAGGATGGGATGGCGTTTCCCCTCCCATCCTCTCTTTGTGGAGATTTGTAACCGGTATGCCATCCCTCCTGGCAAAATCTCCTCCAATTCTCATGAGTCTCTCTTTTGCTTCCTTGCCCGATGCCATAAGAAAGACATCTAACCTACTCTAGCACTCTTCCTCTCCTTCTTTCGCCCCCACAAGTATTGAGTCGGGGAGGGGGTTCGTGAGTTTTACGGCCCGGACCGACATGCAGTTTCTAGAGAGTCCGGTCGACAAGCTCGACGATTGGTTCCGTCATTTCTTTGTGGTGGTAGCCCCGGTGGACCTCCCTTTTCCCAACGTATGGAGGAAGAAGGAGGACAAGTTTCCTTCCCACACCTTTCATTCTCGCACCCCGGGACTCGAGGAGACTTTCCGCCTCCTCCTCAAGAACGGTCATCCGGTCCCCCACGCTCTTCTCTCTAAGGATTCATATTTCCAGGGTCTCGGATTTTGGGTGTCTCCCGATGTTTGTCTTCAAGCGCTATCGGGGAACACTACTTCTTCTTGGACTCCCCCCTCAGGGCCACACGACTCCGCAAGGGATCGCGACGATCCTCTCGAAGGGATCTTTCCCCGGAAGAGGACGCCGAGGAGGAAGAGGTGGGGTCCGCAGCCGGGGACCAACCTCTGCTTCTTGCCCACCATCCCTTTGTCAAGGAGGAGGTGGTAGTTGAGGACGTCTCCGACGATGGCGGCCTCTACGATTTCCCTCCAGGGACCTTGAGGGGGTCCAACTTTATCCCTGGAGTCCCTCACACTCCTCTCTTCGGTAGGGGGGCTTCTTCTTCTGCCCAGCCCGCGGGTTCAGTTGGTTTCCATCCTCAAACCAGTGGGACCCGTCCACTTGGGCGCGCCACCGGTTCGCAAGGGTCCCTTGAGCCGCCTCACGTCGAGGTGGCCGGAATCGGGATCCCATGCAGCACAGAGTCTCCCTGGGAATATTCCCCCTCCTCTGGCTGTGGGGGGGACGACGTAACTTCCCAGCTCCAACCTCCCACTGCCCAAAATTTTGCAGAATTGGCAGTGGCGAGCATTTTTTAGACGCCCCTTGGCCAGGGCGTTCCTCTCCCTGGTTCGAACATCCATCAATCTTTTATGGAGGCCGAGGAGTTAATTCGGTCCTCTAGCTTTCGACAGGCCACTGTCCAGCCATCCATCCATCCAACTGCCAATCTAGGTCCATCCAATAATGAGACCCACTCTTCCTCTTCTCAGGCCGGTCACAAGAGGGGCCGGCACTCCATCCCTCTCCCTGGCTCGGCGGCGTCCGCCGGTCACTCCATGGGGACCGACGGTCACTCAATGGGGACCGCCGATCACCTCATGGGGACCGCTGGTGATGGGTCTCTTACCGGGCAGGGGGATCAGCCCTTTCCCTATGCTCGGGAGGCCTACCAGTATGCGGGGTATACGGGCTGGGTTGGACGGGACTTCAATCACAAACTTCAAGAGATACAACAGCTTAAGAGGGACCACCCAGATGTGGTTCATAGTCCAGCCTAGCCGTTTATGTTGGAGGAGTATGCTCGTATGGTAAGTGCCCCTCTTCTCTTTCATTCTAAGTCCTTCACTCACTTCTTCATTCCTTTTATGATTGCTAACTGTTACTTTCTTCTTGTTGTTGACAGACAGATTATGTTGCCACTTCCACCGCTCAGCGCCATTCCCTTCGCCTCTTGGACCGCAATGCCGCTTTATCACGGGAACTGGGCGATTTCAAATCCCGGCATTCTATTTGTGTTGCGCATCCGGAAAATGATCGGGTTTTATCCGAGAATGATCGCATCTCATCTGACAACGAGCGGCTTGCGGCCAAGGTCAGACAGCGTGACCTGAGTCGGATCCAGGACGTGAAGGAGATGGAATTTGTGAGGGCTGACATGGAACGGCAGGTTAGGGAGCATGAACGGCGGATCCGAGAGGAGGCCGAACTCCACCGAAAGAGGGCGGAGGAGGAGCTGGAGCGAACGTGGCGTCATCGATCCGAAGAGGAGGCGAGGAAGGCGACGGAAGAGGTTGAGCAGAGGTGGCGCCTTCAACACGAGGAAACGGAACGTCGACTTTCTCAATGGGTCGATGAACTAAACCTGACTCTGATGGAGGAGAGGCGTTCAGCCCGGAGTTCCCTTGACGAGGCCCGCCGCTCACTTGAGAGCGAGCGTCTCACTTATGAGGGACATATGGCTCGGATGGAGGCCGATCGCATTTCAGACTACGGCCATGGTTTCCACCGTGGAGGGTTGCAGGTCCAGGAGCGTTTTTATCGCGGATTGGAGCCTTATTCTGATGGACTAGACCCTTGACTGAAGTTTCCCGGCATCCCCGGACCCATGGGACCAGAGCCTTCTCAATTCCGTCCCTCTCCGTCGCCCTGAATCCTCAAGCCATTATCCCATTTGCTTAGGACCGGTCCTCATACGCCTTTGTATTGGTTTTGTTTTTAACTGTAAGGATCGGTCCCCCCCCCTTTTTTGTAACTCATGGATTGGAAAGAATGATCATGAATGGAGAATTTCCTTTTCATTTTTATAGCACAGTACATTCCATTCTCTTGCAACAAAAGGAAAAGAAAAACACTTTAAAAATGAGTCTTGAAAATTCATGGGAGGATAAAACCTTGAATGGACAGCTTCTACTGGTAGAATTTTTTCAGATGCTCCACATTCCAAAAATTGTCTAATGCCTTCCCTTCGGATGAGGCCAATTGATAGGTACTTGCGCGCACAACCCTCTCCACACGATATGGGCCTTCCCAATTCTGGGCTAACTTTCCTCCTCCAGTGGGTTGACTTTTCTCCCTTTTTCGCAGGACCCAATCCCCAACTTCGAATGCCCGAAGTAAGGTTTTTTTTATCGTGATACCTTTTGGATTGTCGTTGATATTCTTCCGCCTTTATTGCCGCGTCGTCCCTCCTTTCTTGAGTGAAATGGGAATCCACTTCCATCAATTGCTCGTTGAGGTTTGGGGTGTATGCCTCCACCCTCGTGCTAGGGACTAAGACCTCGGTAGGTACCTTTGCCTCGAAACCATAAGTTAAGGCAAAGGGAGTTTCTCCTGTGGCCCTCCTTGGAGTAGTTCTATGGGCCCACAACACATAGGACAACTCTTCCACCCAAGAGGTGCCTAACTCGTGTAATCTCTTCTTAATACCATCCACAATTGTCCTATTGGCATTCTCCACTTGCCCGTTGCATTGTGGGTAGGCTTCAGTGGCTCGACTGAGTTTAATCTTCCATGCATCACAAAATTCCTTAAAACTTGTGTTGGCAAATTGAGTGCCATTGTCCGTTATGATTTGCTCAGGAACACCAAATCTGCATAGCAAATTTTTCCACACGAATTTCCAGCAATTTTCCTCTGTAATCTTCACAAGGGCCTCCGCTTTGACCCACTTGGTGAAATAATCTATTGCCACGATGGCAAATTTCTCCCTCCCAGCCCCTTGGACGAAAGGACCCACCAAATCCAACCCCCATCTAGCAAAAGGGATAGCCGTAGTGACAGAGGTGTAAAAGGTGGATGGGCGTCCAGGGATTGGTGCAAATGCTTGGCAGGTTGGACATTTCCTCACCAATTCTAGTGCATCCTTCTTCAAAGTGGGCCAATAGAACCCCGGGAGTATCACCTTTCTTTCTAGAGTGAGGGCACCTTGATGGGCAGAACAGACTCCTTGATGTACCTCTTCCAGTATTCTTCCCGCTTCTCTTTCACTCAAACACTTGAGCATCGGTCCACCCAAGGTCCTTTTATACAGTCTCCCTCCATCCAACTGATACTTAGGGGCCATCAATTGGACTCTACGGGCCTCCTTGGGGTCAACAGGGAGCTCTCCTTTTTCAAGATATGTGAACAGGGGGCTCATCCATCTTGTACTTGGACCGGTTATCTCAAGGACATGGACCTCCTCTTCCCAAACAAGACAAGTATTCTCGTGCTGTCTCACCATGCTCTCCATGTGGACGGGAACGGTCCTACACAACTTGGCGAGCATGTACGCCTCCTCGTTTTCCTCCCTTGGAACATAAATGAGTTCATAATACTCAAATTTTCCAAGTAGGGTCCTGGCGCAGTCTCTGTATCTCTTCAACCTTCCTTCCTTGGCCTCCATTTCTCCTTTTAGCTGCCCAATGGCTAGTTTTGAGTCGGATTTAAGGCGAATGTTCTTTATCTTCATGAATAGAGCAAATGGGATTCCCCCGATGAGGGCCTCGTACTCTGCTTCATTGTTGGTGGCCCGAAACATGAACTTAAAAGAGTGATATGTCTTAAAGCCTTCAGGGGAGGTGAGGACAGCTCCTCCCCTGATCCGTCCTTAGTGCAGGATCCATCTGAGTGTATTTCCCACACCTCCCTTTTTCTTTCCTGGCCCGTCCCATCCTCTTCTGGCTTTCCTCTTACTGTACATTCCACCATAAAATCTGCAATGACTTGGCCCTTCTTTCTGGAACGGGGCTGGTAAGAAATATCATATTAAGAGAGGACCATGGCCCACTTGATGACCCTTCCCGAGGAAGATGGGTCCCTCAAAACTGCTCCCAAGGGTTGGTCCGTCATGATTCTTACTGGGTGAGCTTGGAAATAAGGAGTTAATCTTTTCACAGTCACCACCACTGCCAAGACACATTTTTCCAAGGGAGTGTACCTTGTTTCCGATCCTCTCAAGGCCCTGATTGTGTAATAAACTAGCTTTTGGGTCCCTTCCTCTTCCCTCAAGAGGACCGAACTCACAGCTAAGTGGGCCACTCCTAAATAGAGGAAGAGGATGTCCCCCGCCAGTGGCTTGGAGAGGACCAGTGGAGAGCTCAAATATGCTTTCAAGTGTTCAAAGGCTTCCTGGCACTCTGCGGTCTACTGGAAATTTCCCCATCCCTTTAAAATTGTAAAAAAGGGCAGGGACCGTTCCGCGGACCGCGCCAAAAATCTCCACAGGGCCGCTATCCTTCGTGCTAATCTTTGGACCTCTCTTAAATTTGTTGGGGGTTCCATGTCTTGGATGGCCTTCAACTTGTCCGGATTGACTTCAATTCCTTTCTTGTTTACCATGTACCCAAGGAATTTTCCTCCATGGACCCCAAAGGCACATTTTTTGGGGTTTAACCTCAAATTGTGCTTCCTCATGATGCTGAAACATCTTTCCAAGTGTTGAGGATGGTCCGCTGCCTGCTTACATTTTATCAGCAAGTCATCTACATAAGCCTCCATGATCTGTCCAAGGACCTCCTTGAATAGTAAGGAGATCATTCTTGTAAATGTGGCCCCCGCGTTACGCAGTCCAAAGGGCATGACCACGTAACAATATACTCCTTCAGGGGTGATAAAGGCTGTGGATTCCGCATCCCTCTATGCATGAAAATTTGATGATATCCTCGGAAGGCGTCCATGAAACTCAACAGTTCATGGCCCGCCGTTTCATCTACTAACTGATCCACTCTTGGATAGTGGAAAGGGGTCCATAGGACACGCCTTGTTGAGGTCCGTGAAGTCCACACACATGCGAAATGTGTCCCCTTTTGGTGCCAGCACCACATTAGCGAGCCACTTAGGATATTGGACCTCTCTAATGTGGCCGGCCTCCAAAAGGGTTTTTACCTCCTTCCTCACAAACTCTTTTCTGTCCGTGGACAGATACCTTTTCTTCTGCTTGACCGGGAGGGAATCCACCCTGATGTTCAACTTATGGCAAATGATTGAAGGATCGACTCCGGGCATATCTTTGGATTCCCATGCGAAGAGGACCGAGTTTTGTCTTAGTACTCGGATAATCTTTTCACGGGTATCCTCCTCCAGTCCTAAGCCAATCCTTACTACCTTTTCTGGATCCCCATCAGGGAATAGCATCACTTCTTCCATTTCCACAGCTGGCTTAGGCCTCTCCCGGTCCTCCTCTTTCCTTTCTTTATTTTCCAAGGCTTGTCCAATGGTTTGGATATTGGGGTTCTCCTTGTCTATCTTCTTGCAGGCGTTTAGATAAGCCTTCTTGGCTGCAGGCTGGTCACCAAGGGCTCTTCCAATACCTTGGGGAGTCCTAAACTTGAGGCATAAGTGTTCAAGGGACAGCGCCCCTCCCAAGTCCTCTAGTCCAGGCCTCCCTAAGAGGGCATTGTGGGCACACTTGATATTGACCACCACGAAATCCATTTTCATATGCCTCACCTTTGGATGCTCGCCTATGATAACATTTAGCTTAACGGACCCTTCCGGTTTGATTATGTCTCAGGTGAAACCGGACAGGGGCATATTAAGCCTTGTGAGATCCTCCTTCCTGATTCCCAATTGTTGGGCCACCTCCCGGTATAACACATTGACACTACTCCCTGTGTCCACCAATATTCTTTTAACAAAAAATTTGTGAATAGCCATAGAAATTACCACGGGGGTCCGATGAGAACTAGGAATGAACGGAAAGTCTTCGTCTGAGAAGACAATGGGCTCCTGTCTTCCTTTCTTGGCCACTTGTCCCACGTCAACAGATCCCACATATAGCCTGCGGGCCCACTCTTTCCTCTCCTTGTTTGTGACTCCCATTTCTGGACCGCCAAAGATGACTCCTACTTGGGGGAATTCCTTCGAGTTCTCCTGGACTTGTTGTTGAGGTTGGGCGTCCCTACGCCAAACATTACCGCCTTGGTTTGGTTATTGGTTAGCATTCGGTTCCCTCTCCTTCATCTGTCCTTCCATCTTTTTGAGGAACATGCATTCCTCTGTGGCGTGTCCAGGCCTTCTGTGGAAGTTGCAATATTTTTCTGGGTTGTAGGGCCACTGCTTTCTTTTTTGATCTCCACGTTTCCTTTTCTGTCCCCCTCCCTCCTTGCTCTTAATTTCTGCCACCGGTGCAGCCAGCGGCTTAAGGGTAGGGATGGAGAGAGTGGTTGCCTTAGCTTTCTCGCCTTTCTTCTCTTTGTTTGAACCCTTGTGCAAGGCTCCCTCATTCTTTCCCTTTAGGCGATCTGATTCTTCCGTGGCACAAAACTTGTTGACTCTAGCCAGTAGCTATCATAGCTTTGTAAGAAGTGGGGGTAGCATAATCTAACCTTCTGAATAATTCTCCCGATCTTAGAACACTCATGAACAGAGCTATGGAAGTCTTATCGTCCATGGGCTCCACCTCATTAATTGCCTCATTCCACCTTTGCACCAACTCAGTGTTGGTTTCTCCCTCCTTTTGCTTTAAGGAGAAAAGATGGGTGAAGTGCTTCTTTGGCTGGAACCTTCCTCCATAGGCATTGAGGAAGAGTTGAGCAAGATCTTTGAAGCAATAAATGGTCCCATTAGGAAGGGTGAGGAACCATTTTACGGCCGGCCCTTCCAAAGTCCCTACGAAAAGGCGACACTGGATTTCATCTTCCACCGCGTGCATCAACATGTGAGTTTGGTATGCGGCCAAGTGATCATTGGGATCAGTGACTCCTCTATAACGTATTTCAGGGGCTTTCATACCCCTAGGCAGCTTAGCTTTCATTACCCTGGAAGTAAAAGGGGAAATTACCTCCACGGTGGGCCCGAAAGACCCATCCCTATCGATTTGCCTTTTTAGTTCCTCCATCTCTTTCCTCAGTTTGAGGATATCCCTGGTATCTTCATTGCTAGGATCCTCATAATTTTCCCCAGATTCCTCAGTTCTGGGTCCCAGCCTCTGAGATGCACTTTTGCGCATCCTCTTATGCACTGATATGCGTCCTTGGCTCTCCACCACCTCACTCTCTCCTTGGCTCGTCTTCTTCTGGGTCCCTTGGGACCGGGCCTCTCCTTCCTTGTTGAGCCATCCGATTAACTTTCGGACTATGGGGGAGTTGGCGCCGAATCTTTCTGTTGCTGCCTGAGAGTCTCTTGGATGAGAACTCTTAGGGGCTTTAGAGTGTAGACTCTGCTCACAAGATTTGTCTTGTGTTTCATGCCTGGATTGGGAGAGAGTTATTTGTTTTCTGAGATCACGAGATGAAAGCTTTTCTCTCCCTTCCAAGTTGGTTCGCGCCTTAGCAGCGATGGAAAAGGGGGACCGATATGGGATAGCGGTCCTTGAGCAAGGAATCGGTCCTTCTGGGTGATCGACTATTGAGAGCGGTCCGCTTTGAGGATCGGTCCTCCTTTCTTTCTTTCTTTTTTTTATGGACCGACTAATACCAGGAGTCCTTCTGGATGGACCGCGAACTTACCTCCTTCACTTGGAGTGGACCGCTGATTCTTCCCAGATCTAGGAAGAGGTCTTCCCAAGTGAACAGGAATGAGATAGGCTTGCTATCAACTCTCTAGAAGGCTAGGAAGCTTCAATCGGTCCCACGGTCGGCGCCAGTGATGGATACCCAATATTTTCCCTAGGACTGTAGATCGGCCCAGGTCCAAATATAGGTATCCGGGCCTTATAATATTGAAAGATAATACGAGAATAGTAATTAATAGTAAGGGAAGTATTGCTCACAGAATAAGAACTCAAAACCGGCGGTCCTTTCCTCTATTCGGTCCATTTAGGATTGGAATATACTCAAGGATCTCCGGAATATCTTTTATTATTTATTCAAGTATTTTCTCTCTCTATTACAAGATGATCCTTCCTCTTTAACTCCCTCATTCTTTTATAGGCGCTCCCCATCCACTATCTCATCAAAATAATGGCAGTGGTTGGGGAGGATATTCATGTCATCCTTGCTATTTCCTGGAGGGATGTATCTCAGCTTGAAGCCATCCATTGGAGGACAAGCCTCTCCGTCCATCTCTCATTCCTGTCCTTCATCCGTTCCTTACTCCTTGTCCTTGTCCCTCTCGTTGAGGGGCGGCTTACCCTAATTTCCTCTATAGGATTCCTTCCTTTTGGGGTGACTTGTTCCTAATGGGCTGGGGTTTAGCCCATCCTTAAGCCCCAATCCTTTTCCTTTCCCTATCTCTCCTCACGGACAACTTCCCTTGACCGGCCCAGTACATTTTCTCTGGGCCAGATTCTCCTTTTGATGGACGGGATCTAGATTGGGCCTAGGCCCAATTCGCTGGTATTCTCTCGATGGGCTTGGTTCCCATCAAGATCGAATAAGGAAAGTTATTTCTCTTGGTACCATTAATAAAGAAAAAGGTAAAGAATCAACAAACATGGAAATATCGGACCAAAATAAATATGTAATCCACCGTTGTATACAAAATTAAAAAGGAAAGAAGAAATTGTATTTTTTATGGGAACATTTTTAAAAAGTAAAGAATTAACAAACAAGGAAAGAAGAAACCCTTTTTTTCATGAGAACGTTTTAAAAAAGTAACAAATTAACAAACAATGAAATATATGTAGGACCGATGCTATTGTTATTATTATTTTTTAATTATTATTATTCTTCTTATTATTGTTATTATAATTTATATTATTATTATTATTATTATTATTATTATTATTATTATTATTATTTAATAGTCGTGATTAAATTTCTAGGATTCATAGTTTTAATCATTCAAAAGATCAAGTGGAGTTATATGTAGAAGATAACTAGTATTCCTACCCGTGCCACGCACGGGTTCAGACGAATATCTTGTCGATTCTGAATTTATTCAATGTAATATTTTTTTCCGGAATAAAGGAAATATACCTCATGCATGATTTATAATAACACAGAAAAAAAGGCAAAGTAAAAAGAATAATATATGAGGAATTGAATCTACACATAACAAAGTTTGCTTTAATACCAAATTTTTTGAAAGACTTCAGGGTATACAACATTTTTGGTATGGCTGCAAGGATTTCCATTGTCATCTAAGACTAATATTTTTAATCTTGTCTTTCTCTTCACTTGCAAAACAGCAACATAGAGCTGACCATGAGTGAACACTGACTTGGTTAAAAATAATCCAACAAATGACAATCTTTGACTTTGACTTTTGTTAATAGTCATCGCAAAACATAAGACTATTGGAAATTGTCTTCTCTAGAACTTTAGAGGTAGTCCTGGATCAGACGGTACCAAATTCATCTGGGGTATGTAAACTTTTTCACCCACTCGATTTCTCGAAACCACAATAGCACCAATAACATTCTTTCGCATCTCGTCAACAATTAATCTTGTACCATTACACAATCCAGATGTTTGGTCAATGTTCCTAAGTAACATAATTGGTACCCCTTTTTTAAAACTATCCCGTGGTTTGGGATTCCCGAACATTTGATTTCATTCAAAAACTCAACTGTTATCCAGTCGCCATCAACACCTACATCTGAATCTGCTTGGCATGATGAATCAGAACTCAAGTACACCATTTCATCTCTGGGAATGAGGGATAAGACAAATTCATTTACCATTTCTACAACTTCGAGTGTGGGTGCTAGTAGTGCCCTGTCTTAAAAAAAAGAATAACTTCTCATTTTCTCCAATAAGTTCGGATAAGTAAAATCCGCTATACTTTTGAGGGGTGAACTGTTATCTATAATCAAAAATTTGAGAGGAATTTCAATGTCAGCAGTTCCATCAATCACTTGTCCAAGCTTTCCATCTCCAACTTTGATTATCCGATGAGAAAAATCTTGCGTGTCTCTATCTACGTAAGAGGACGTTGATGAATGTAATCTCATATTTTTCGTCAACTTAAAAACTTTACAATAAGACCACAAATATATATAAAGTCTAGGTTTACTAAATTATATATCCACACACACACATACACACACAAATATATATAAAATCTAGGTTTACTAAATTATTACAAATATATAATTCTTCTCACCCCTTAATTCAAAAAATATACGACAAAAACATTAGTGATTTTATTATTCTTATCCCCCGCATTTATTTAACAAACTTAGATTTCCGATCCTGTAATTTTAATATTAAAAAATCATGATTCTTCTCTGCTAGATTAATTTACATTAACAGAAATATATGATTTTAATTTCTATGACGCATTAATGTGATTCTTCCTCTCCTTCGCTCTTTGCACTTATTAAAAATTGACTCCTTTTTTCTTGTATTATTAAAATTATGAAAAAATAAATTAACAATCATATGATGAGATATATAAATTTTACAATACATTAAAAATATAATGATTAATCTCCCTTGTATTATTTCAAAAATTATGCGAACGCAAAAAAATAGTGATTATATGATTTTAATGAAAATTTTACAAAAACTATTCCATAATTTTTACTCATTTTTTTGCTTTCTTTTTTAAATATAAAATCATTTAAGTGTGTGAAAGTATTTTGGTCAATACATAATTTTTTATAAAATACAAAGAGTTACAATTTAAAAATTATATTTCTCTTTGATATTGTAGCTGATCCTAAATCTTATTCACTTTTGCACATTAGATCTTCTTCGTAGTTCTCCTTAAAGTATTGATTATCCTTGCATCTAAATTTTAATTTTCACAAATTTTCACGCGTTTCTCAGCCTCCAGATCTTAGAAGTTTTGTAATAATTGAATAGAAAAATATGCATAATTAGGAAATAATTTATTATAAAAATGAATATATCCATTCTCTTCCATAATTAATTGTACCAAATGACTTCATACCAAAGTATTAACTTATTATTTTATATAATATATTTTACGTGTCAGAAATGTCTCGTAAACAACATCACATCTCAGCTTCTTAGAAATTAAAATATCAATTTTATAAATAAAGGATCAATTATAAAAATATTTGATTCTTTCATATAAGAATACTTTTAGATGAAAATATATCATTATCAAAATTTTGTTTTTTGTGTATTCACTTAGTTAAAAATTTGATTCATAAAATGCTAGTCTAGAAATGGTAAGTGATAATACCAATTTTATATTTTCACTAATTTTTTGCTACATCATAATAAGTTTTATCATAAAATTATATTTTATATAATTGCTTTCCTTTAATAATTTTATTTCGGACAATACTATATTTATCTTTCACAAATTTGATTTTATAACATAATTAATTAATTTTATCACAACATAACAAATAAATAAATGAATTGCTTTTTAAAAATAAAAATATAAAAACTCAACTAATGTCACGAAGTAATGAATTCTTTATTTGTCCTAAATTTTTTTAAGAAAACTTTTTTCCAAAATTTGAAATCATTATTAAATTTCTATTTTAAAATAAAAAGAAAGGTCAATTCATCATTAATAAAATTTGTCACATAAGCAACCAATAAAGGCTTGTGATCTCACCTTAATATAGCCCACAAAAGCTTGACACTTGGCGACTTTCTAGCAAACGGAGTCTCAAATATTATATTAAAGGATTGAAAGTTGGAGATGTTTTGTCTTTGCTTATATTATTTTGCATATGTTGTTGGGGTGGGGTTCCCATGACATTGGAACCTCATGTCATGGGATGATCCGGGGACGCTCCGGTGTCCCATTCGTAAAATTGACGCTTCCTACCCCCTAACCCCCCAGTGAACCCCCCACCTCGTCCCGACCCAAACACACCCCTCATCCATCATCCCTTTCAATTGCATCCAACAAGTTGGTTTTGACTTTAGAGTAAAAATGTCATGGGAACCCTCTCAATGTTATTGACAAGGAGACCAACAATTCTACTATTAAAGTTAGCTCAACATGCAATGCATAATTGCTTATATATACTTCTTCCGTCACAAAAAATGTTCCTACTTTGACATTTAAAAAAATTTAAGTTAGGGATTTTTGTGTTCACTTTTCAAAAATACCCTTGACTAGTGTTTACCCCGTGCTTCGCACGGGCTCGTATATATTCTAAACTTTTGAGATTCTATAAATATAATTTTAGTTGTTTTAGTTTCTAATAGTGACAAAAAAATGTTTTAGACTGATGGAACATACATAGTATATTGGTATGTTAATTTAAAAAAACAATTTTACAAAATTAATAATCATTGAATTAAGTACTAAATAGAAATGGTTTGAATCAATAAAATATTATAATAAAAAGTGGATCAGTTACATGCATAATGATACATCATTAGAGAATATATATGTGTCATAATGTCATTTGTCAGTTGTCACCCTTTAAATTTATACAATCATTTTTCGAGAAGTAATAAACTAAAATAAACTGTGGATAGTATAAAAATAATTTTATGTGTGTACTCAAAATACGAAGTTTATTTTACAATGGTGAAATATATATTCAGAATTATTAAGGAATGAAAAATTTTATACAAATGTATTAAAAGATATTTAAAATA